ATCCTTCAGATTGGTATTTCAACAAGCAATGGTTTCAAGCTCAAGATAAAGCTCACAGAATTTGCACAGGCACTGATGCACACACACACATCCACACATAAACACGCGTGCAGAAAATCACATAAAAACATACTTCCAGCCAACACTGGACAACCTCATGAATTGAAACAGTTATTTAGGATGGAAGACAGAAAAGCAGTGTGAAACAGTTAATCAGAGCAAGGATCAGTGGCAGGAATGCAACGGTGAATAATATTGAGTGTGTCACAGATGTCCAGCTGAGGAGTACGCTGGAGAGTAGCTTTTAATTATAAATGAACTTGGGAATACATTGCACTTAAATGTGATGTAGATCTTCAGTCTGTGTTCTGTTCAGTTTATTCAGATTAAACACAGATGCAGTCGAGTGTTAAGTGGGATGTCAGATTATTTAGCAACAATCCTTTCAGAATCATTGTATGAAAACTTTCCTAAATTGTTGCGATTTAATCTTTGTGTCGAACTGAAATTCCAGATTTGCATTATGGATTAAAGGGCTTTAGTTTTATGACATGGGAACATCTTCTCAGAAAATAAGCGCCTTCTGTTTCAGCTTTCTATTAGAAAGCAAGGTGACTTGGTAGAGTTGGGATTACAGAGTAAAGTCCTTGAATTTAACCCCCCACCCCTCAACAAACACAACAACTTGCATTTATGCAGCACGTTAAAGTTCTGAAACATGCCAGGGAGAATGCGAGTCCTGACAAGAGACCAGATTGTACGCTGAAAGCTCCAATAGTGTTTCTAAACCAGGGTACAACATCGGGCATTTACTGTTGAGTATTTTCCATGCTTTGTGGAAGCTCCGCAGTAAATTATGAGAGCTTCCGCTCTGATACTGGATCAGGCAGTGGAGGATCAATGATGCAGTCCAATGGGAGACTTTTTACTGAGATTTGTCTCTATTTTTTTCTGGTTCGATAGTTTGCTTCAGTAATCTAGGACAGGCATTTCATAGTCCAAATTGTAGCATATTCCTCCCTGAGTCAGAGGATTGACTTTGTTACCCACTTTTGGCAGTTGTCTTTTGAGACCAAGGTCTTACATTGATCAGGAAGTCAGTCAGCTCCATTGGCCGAATGGCTGGTTTGCCACAGCCTGGGTGCAACTCTCGCACCGACTGAGGTTACCATGAGGACTCTTTCTCAACCCCTCCCCTCACCTGAGGTGTGGTGACCCTCAGGTTAACCCAATGAGTTGTCTCTCTCAAATGAGAGAGCAGCCTATGGTCCTGTAGGACTATGGTGACTTTACCTTGACACATTGACCAACTGAACTGACCTAGCCACCATCAGCCAGACTGTCAGTTTTATCCACAAAGCTGTGCAACATTGGAATATGAAAGGTACTTGACCTCACCATTTTCAATATCAATTTCATTATCTGCAAAATTTTTCATCCATACCAAGCAATCTTGAAGAGTGTACCTGAACAGTCTGGTTCCATCTGTACACTGAATATTTTTACATGCTGATCAGAAATTTTTCTCAGATCTCTTTATTCTTTAATCACCGCTATTTTATAATAAACCATATTTCCCTAGTTTCTTATTGCGTTACCTTATGTTTTAAGGATCGTCAAATACCTTCAGAGACTCCGGTTTTAATGAAAACCCTTCTGCCTGCATGCAGTGCATTCACATGCTTTGAAGAGTAGAACTAATCGTAGTCCCCTCCCAAGCTGGGAGCTGATCACTTGTTATTGATAGACATTTAGGATTCCTACCTCCTAGGCAGTCTTTGACGGTGGGAGGAAACTGGAGTACCCGGAGGAAACCCACGCAGACACGGAGAGAATGTGCAAACTCCACGCAGACAGTCACCCGAGGGTGGAATTGAACCCGGGTCCCTGGCGCTGTGAGGCAGCAGTGCTTACCACTGAGCCACTGTGCCGCCCTTATGTTAATTCTTATGTTAATATTCACACTTGTATCTTTAAATTCACCATTAGCAAAATTCCCCCACCCTCACTCTCCTCCCTTTTGTTGTGAGAAATTTTGTAGGTGTTTAAGCTCAGTCCTTGTCCACATTTTCATTATCTCAATTATTTTGTCACCTTTACCAGATTCTTGCTATAGGCTATGACGGTGTCCTTTGATATTTCTTACAAATCTCCCATCTATCACTTATTCCTTGTATACGTTTATTATAATCCCCACCCCCATTCTTGCATCCTTTACTGAAATTTTACCTTTTTGAATATAGATAAGCAAATTATTTGAGGAATGGTTACCGGACCCGAAACATTAACTCTGTTTTCTCCTTCACAGATGCTGCCAGACCTGCTGAGCTTTTCCAGCAACTTTGTTTTTGAGCAAATTGTTTGCATTATTTTAAAATATTTGATTTTTTATCTTTTAAGTTTCTTCTTTCAATGTTAGGGACACTTCATTCATTTCTTTATCGGAGGCATTATGTTCCATTAAACAAGTGTAATAGTGGCCTGATTTTGTAAATTGCAAAGTTACATTTTCCAAATACAATAGCTTTCTACATCTTGTTTTACCGATGATTTCTTCATCAATGGCCCGGTTAACAGTGATAGTATTTCACCAGGCCCTATATCCCGGAGAATAAAATTACTCATTTTATGAGGAGTGGCCATATTTTAAAAAGATTTTAATGTGTTATCATCCCTAAATCTCAAATTCCTTAACTTGTCTGATCCTTATTACCCAGAGTTTCTCGCTCCTACTTCGTCCAGTTCATCTGACACGCAGTAGATGTGCATCCATTGTTAACTACTGCACAAGTGAAAGACTCTGACACACATTCATCACTGTGCTGAATCTTCTTGCAACTGATAGAATTTCCCTTATTTGGTCCACATCTCCATCAATGTACCGCGCATCTTCTGTTTCATGTTTAGTTTCAAGTACTCCATTATACCATTTGGGAAGTTACCATGGTCTCAGAGGATCATAGAGCTGCTGTCTCCCTTGGGGGGAGATGACTGGTAATGGTTTAACCTGAGGTCCACCATGCCTCAGGTAAGGCCAAAGTTTGAGAAGGACAGTCCATAGTAACCTCAGCCGGTTTGGGAATTGAACTCATGCTGCTGGCGTCACTCGACATTGCAAACCAACCATCTAGCCAGCTGAATTAGCCGACACACAAAATGATACTTTGAATCACCCATGAAACATTAGTTGACTTCATCCTGGGCATTTTGGAGGTCATCGTCTTCTTGTAACCCCAAATTCTTCACTTTTCAAATTGATTAATGACATTTCTGTCCTGATTTCTCTTAGTCACAATTCTCCTTTTGCACTGTCACGTGTGAGTTGATTCAGGGTGGCCTCTGCCATTTTGTTTAGTCAGTGCCCTTCATTTTCAGTGATGCCACTGATTGCCTTCTTCACTACTGGAAAGGAATGCTTTCCTGGGAACTTGTTTTCATGCTCCCATCCTTTGCTCTGGCAGTGTATGCATGTCCAGAAATTCAACTCCCATTAAAATTAATCATCTAGCAAACATGATACTTTGGCACTGTCCAAGGACTTAAATGCAAGCATGGATTCAGAAGTTTCCAAATTAAAATTTTAAAGTCTTGCATACAACCTGCTGAATTCTATTATGTACTCTTCCATAGTATTCACCTCAGCCTTTTTAAATTTGTCAAAATCTGACCACACCTCATGAGCAGCTAATCCTTTTTTTTTTCTGAAAAATTCTATTGATGCAAGTTAACAATCGGTCCAAATGCTCCTCCATGTTTAAATTAGCAGACTCCACTTCCAAACCAAAACTGTCCTTCTTACCTTGTTTCTAATTAGTAATGAGATGCTAAGGCCATACCATTTTTTGTCTTTGGGAAAGAAATAACCAAGGTCCACACTGTAACTCCATTCTCCACTGGCTCATTTTTAGAAAACAGGGGGAATCGTAACTTGAAACTTTGCATTTTGACTTAACCATCCTCTACTAGTGTTGCATATTGAAGATAACAGTATTTAAACAGAGTCCAAGACCACATTTCTGGTGAGGGTTTTATTTCAATTTAGCACACTTCATAAAGCCCACACCCCACTGGTTACTAGTTCCCCACATTTGCACAACTAATTGACACCTCATTACCTCTTAATTAATATATTCATTTGCTTATTGAGTTGGTCACATAACCTAATGGATAAGCATCTGACTTTGGTGTTAATTTTGCATGTTATCAGAAGACTGCGTGTTCAAGGCCCTCTTGTGGCACAGTGGTAGTGTCCCTATCCCTGTACTGAGAGACATGGGTTGATGTCCCACCTGTTTCAGAGGTGTGTAAATAGATCTCTGAAACAGGTTGACTAGAAAAATAGATTAATAAAAAGAAAATCCATCTGCTTGTTCCATTAGGTTTCAGACATTCATTCAGACCATTCAGATGTTAACAATCCTGGCTAATTTTAATGCCTCATTCAGGATTACATGGAATGGAATATGTCCTCATCGTCACACTGGTCTTTGTAGGAGCTGGCTTTGTACAGACTGGCTGCTGCATTTGAATAGTACAACTGGACTTCAAAAATCAAGTGCTTCATTGGGCCATAAAAAATACTGAGAGGTCTGGTGCAATGTAAAAAAAACAGACAATCCCTTTCCTCCCTTGGACTGAATGTGAACGCAGTTTTAATGAACTGAATTGCCACTTCCGGGTCCTGTGTTTTTAAGCCTTTGACCTTGGTGCCCTCTTCTGGGTAATTGGATGATTCCCTCTTGCATCCAGGTACTGGATTGGAGCTGGCAGTCAGTGAACTTCTGGACTGAGCCACTTAGGTCAGACATGTTCAGGTTGGGTGGACTCTGTCTGAAGTTGTATAGGTGTAGGAGACAAAGGGGAACCAGTGATGGTGCATCTGGTTGTATTAGTGTAAGAATTGCCAACGAACGGTGTACACACATTGAGGGAAGAAGATGTTTTACCGCATATCCTCCTGTGCAATGGTTCATGTGTTTGTTCTTTCTCCTCCCCCACAGGAGGCCCTTATAATGGCCAGTATGGACCATCCACATCTGGTTCGACTTTTGGGTGTATGCCTCAGTCCCACAATCCAGTTGGTCACGCAGCTGATGCCCCACGGCTGCCTCCTGGACTACGTCCGTGAACACAAGGATAATATAGGATCCCAGCTGCTTCTGAATTGGTGTGTCCAGATTGCAAAGGTAAGCAACACCCTCAGAATCATTCAGGGCAAGACACTGTTCAGGCAAGGATTGAGAGGAATTGGACCATGCTCTGTGTATTTTTCTAACAAGCCAATTATACTTTAACAACAGTCTGAATACACGGCAAAGATTTACACGGGTAGGATGCGGTTATGTTATATACTGTTCGATACGGGTAAGCTGTGAGTATGTTACACGCTGTCTGGTACAGGGGTCTGATGTGAGTGTATTATATACTTCTGAAACAGGGGTAGGATGTGAGTATGTCATGTACAGTCAGACAGAGTTGATGCAATTCTGGTTTCAATCATTTATACAGGGTACTGAGATAATGAATAATGAGCTTGTGGGAGCAGAGAATTAGCACAGGAAAACAGGATATTAAAAATTTAGAACAAAGCACAGGAGTTAGCATAGACAAGAATGATATTAAACCCCAGTGCAGGGAACAGAGATTTATTGACCAGAGCAGAGATCTTCAAGAGTGCAAGGATACTGAAGAGCTATTGGATGGAAGAGTTATTAAAATATTTCTGCAGGGAACAGTGATATTGAAGAGTTATTACGGAGAACATAGATATTAAATCATTAGTGCCGGGAATAATAATAATGAAGATTTAGCATAAGGATCAGGATATTAAAGTTGGTGCAAGGAATGAGATATTTAAATTAGTATATGGGATAGAATTATTAACAAATTATTACATGAAATAGAAATACTAAATAGCTAGTACATGCATTGGTGTTATTAAATAATTAGTGCCATACAAAGAACAATAATTTTTATAGCTTAGTAAATGTATATGAGATATTAAGGATTTTGAATTGGCAGTAGCGAAATTAAAGTGTTGTTATGGGGAAGAGAGATATGAAGTGTTAGTACATGAAATTAATTATTGACTAGTAAGAATAAGGCACAGTAATACATGGAAGATTATAATAAAGTAATGCAGTACACAATGCAGCAATATGATAATGTTAGCACAGCAATCAAAGTTATTCAATAGCTGATAAAAGGAGTTGAATTCTTAAGACGTTTGTGATCATAAATGTAATACCACCTAATCGTCATGCAGGGAACAGAGTTTTTGGATCAGTGAACAGAGACACTCAGGAGTTAGTGCACAGAACAGAACTATTAAGGAAACATGAACATTAGCACAGGGAATGGAGAAGTTGGAATTAGTACTCAAATATGTATTACATGCAGAAAAGAGACCACTTAGAGAGTGAAGCAAATGCAGATAGTAAGGAGGTATTACAGGAATTGTTTACTGAGAGCAGGGAACTAAATATGGAGTGTTAAGTCAGGGAACTGGAATAAAAATGTATAATTTGGAGCAGAGATAATTAAGTGTCACTTCAGCGTGCAAGGAAGAAAATATTCAAGAGTTCCTACAGGCTTGACTGATATGAATGGGGTGCAGGGAACCAAGATATCAAAGACAGCAGGACACAGGAATGAAATATTAGTGCAGGGTGCACAGATAGTGAGGAGTTAATACAGCAGAGATATTGAATAGTGAGTGCAGTGAACAGAGGTAATAAAGAGCTGGGGTGGAGAGCAGGGTATTAAAGGTTCAGGTCAAGTCATACAGACATGAAAGAGTTAGTTGAGGGATATTAAAAGAATTTGTAAAAGGAACAGCAAATTGAGGACTTAGAATGAGGAAAAGTGATATTAAAGGTTTAGAACAGAGAACAGAGCTATTGAAGAGTAAGAGCTATTTCAAATTCCACTACTTGAAACATATTTCTACCTTCTACAGTTCAAACCACACTGAGCAATAGAATGTGTAAACATCAGTGAGAAGAGGAAATTAGGCAGAGTTGTGCCTGGAGGAGCAGCAAGTATGGAAGAGATAGAATCTGTGAGGTCCTCCAATTACAGGTTGTCTTTTCAGTGCTTACTACACCAGCTCCAGCGAGTCCAGGTTTCCTCCCTTCTGCCCATGCTGCATCTCCAGAGATCAGAGGAGCAGCATGGGCAGCAGAGAAGGAGGCTGTACTTAGAGGTCGAGGAACAGTACTGTCACTGATCAATTTGACTGGATGCTGAACGACCAGTCTGACCCATATGATGTCCACGGACAGGCTGTGGAGATGAGGCAGACAAAGAAAAATAGAGGAGGGAGGGGGTGACAAAAACTTAGTCTACGGGCCAGCTGGGAAGCATTGTTCTGGCAACATCTAAAATTGTACGAGGGTTGATTTTTAAGAGGGAATGCATATATTCTCATTCCCACAGCATTGCATCCAACTTACACTTGTGAAAGTGGTGATTCTTGATTGATACAGTTCCACTGAAACAGCCAAGATCAGTGAGTTCAACAGATGTAAAAAACTTAATTTGAGATCTTCCTGACTTGAGGCTGGTGGATAGGTTGCTGCAGCTTCAGGATCTTGACTTCTACTTTTAAGGAAGCAAATTGTTGGTAATGGGTGGGGAGGCAATGACAAATGAATAGAGAAGCAATCAATTATGTAGGAATTCATTTGGTCTGGTCCTAACTGCTGCTTATGTCTGCCTTATTGTTTCATTGTGTCAAATAGTTAAGAATTTGAGTGAATGTGACATTAATTTATTATTGTAAATTGGGAATTGAATTTAGGATCCATAGTTGATGGAAGATATCCTGAACTCCTCTTGTGAACTGCTTTGAAAGACTGCGAAAGAATCACACTGCCTTCATGGATAATGGTCAAAGACATGTCAGATATCAAATGCATGGGGCAGCTGGCCCCTTCCAGAAGCTTAACTGCCTCCAGGATATGCACACTCTAGCAAGGCCGTCTTCTAGGATAGACTTCGTCCCTGTACACTAAATGTGAACTGCATGAAAAGCTAAAATGCTGAAATGGTGAAGTTATTTTGGTTGCATCGGTCCATGATCTTGATGGCAATACAAGTGAAACAGCGGAGAAATAACTGTTTTCACACATTGGAAGTGGACAAGAAACATTTGCATTTCATAAAATGTCCTTTAACTTTGTAGTGCCTCCATACTTCAGGAGGAATTTGCTGCTGGGCAATATCATATACATACATCTTCTCAGAAATAATATTCAGATCTTTTTGTCCATCGGTCACACTCATCCCTAGTGATTAAACTGGGCAGAAGAACTAAAGGATTGCTGCAAGATAAAATGATAATAAAGAACATAAGCAGGGTTCAGAGGCATACAAAGAACAGAGCTATCAAGCAGTTAGAGTGGGAATAGAAAAATTAAAGAGATATTAAACTGTTAGACCTGGAATAGACATATTAAAGAGTTAAAGCAGGGAACGTAAGATTAAAGAGTTAGAGCAGGAACAGAGATATTAAAGCATTAGAGCTGGAGCAGAGATATTAGAGAGTTAGAACAGAATCAGAGATTTAAAGACTTAGAGCAGGGAACAGAGATATTAAAGAGTTAGACCAGAAAGCAGATATATTAAAAGGTTTGTGTCAGGAACAGAGATAATGAAGAGCTGAAGCAGGAATAGAGATGTTAAAGCATTAGAACAGGAGCAGAGATATTAAAGAGTTTGAGTCGAGAATGGAGATATTAGAGCTTTAGAACAGGAACAGCGATATTAAAGTTTTAGAGCAGAAACAGTGATTTTAAGGAGTTAGAGCAGGGAACAGTGATGTTAAAGTATTTTAGAGCAGGGAACAAAGATATGAAAGTTTAGAGCACGAACGGAGATATAAAAGAGGTGGAGCAGGGAACAGAGATATCGAAGAGTTACAGGAGGGAACATTACATTGAAGTATTAGAGCAGGAACAGAAATATTTAATAGTCGGAGCAGGGCACAGAGATATGAAATAGTCAGAGCAGGAGACAGATAAATGAAATATTCAGAGCAGGGAACAGTGATACTAAAGAGTTAGAGCAGGAGCAGAGATATTAAAGAATTAATTTAGGAAACAGAGATGTTGGAGCCCTAGAATCATAGAGTCATACGGCACAGAAACAGACCCTTCAGTCCAACTCATGCATGTCCACCAGGTTTCCCAACCTAAACTAGTCTCATTTGCCTGCATTTTGCCCATATGCCTCTAAACCTTGGACAGAGTAAGGACTGAGTGCTGGAAGCTAGAGTCAATAAATGTGGAGTTGGAAAATCATAGCAGGTCAGACAGCCAGTCTTGACGAAGGGTTTCGGCCTAAAACACTCCTGCTCCTCGGATGCTGTCTGATCTGCCGTGCTTTTTCTGCTTCACATTTATTGACTCCCTCTAAACTTTTCCTATTTGTATACCCGTCCAAATGTCTTTTAAATGTTGTAATTATACCTGCCTCTACAACTCCCTCTGGCAATTCATCCCACATGCACACCAGTCACTATGTGAAAAAGTTGCCCCTCAGGTCTCTTTTAAATCTTTCCTCCCTCACCTTAAACCTATGCTGTCTGACTATTCATCCTATCCATGCCCCTCATGATTTTGCAAACCTCTGTAAGATCACTCCTGAGCTTCCAATACTCCAGAGAAAAATATCCCAGCCCATCCAACTTCGCCTTGTAACTCAAACCCTCCATTCCTGGTAACATCCTTAGTGTAGTCAATAGTGTTATTTGTATTTGTACAATAAACTGTCTTATTTAAACTAGTACGTACAGCAGCATTTATATGAGTGGCTGAACCAGTATATGATTTTTGCACAATCAAATTGAATTACCTTTGATGGTGAGCAATATAAAGAGTAAGTGAAGTCTTTCCAGGCCTACAGCAGATATATACAAGGATCAGAAACTATAAGGAGTGAAGGTGATGCACAAAAGTATTGGTACAGAGTGCAGAGATTAAAAAAAGTAAAGGGGAATTGGATTAGTGTAATAACAGGATCAGAGCTATGATTCTTTCTATAGTGTGTTGTATTCATCATGACCCTAGGAGCTAACCAAATCGGTGCTGACAGTTTAATTGACTCCTTTGTTTTGTTGGGTGGTGATCACTGAAAAGGCTGTTCTCGAATTTATTTAACAATGACGAATTTGTTGCCCAGGAAT